TAGGTTGCTCCATTTCTTTTCTGCTTGTTATTTTTGTCATGAAGTCTGTGTTCATTCTTATCTTATTTCCTTCTATATGTGATTTATTATCCAATGTCTTTGTTTTTTCCTTCTCTTCGTACTTAAGTGTGGATAGTTTCTATAGTCCCATTTTCGAATTTACTATTCTATTTTTCTGAAATACCTAATATGTATTTAAGAAATGAACAATGTAATGTTTATTTCTGATACTACATTTAGCCCCAGTAACTCAATTTGTTTCTCTATTGAAATTTCTCTTTTTTAAATATTCCTGTTTAGATTTTTCCTCTTTCAATTGTGTTAAAGTTCTTATGTGATAATTTCATCATATCTGTTGTTCCTGAATCTACTATTGTTAATGTGCTTTCCTCATGATTTTGGGTAATGTCTTCCTGCTTCAACCTGGTAAATAAATATTTTTTGGATGCTGGACATCGTGAACATGTGGTTATCAAATTTAAGAATTTTTAACTCTTTTGTTAAACAGCATCAGATTTTGTTTTGGTAGGCAGTTTATGTGATTGCAAACCAGATTAATCCTTTTGAGGTTTAATGTCATACCTTACTGCTAATTCATGCATAGGTTGAGATGGATTCACTTCCACTACAGCTTTCAGCTCATCATTATCCACCTTGGTCTCAGATTGCCCACGTGGCTCATTTTCAGGATTGAAATCACCAGAATGGAACTTCTCAAACCATGAACATACTGTGCGTTCATTCACCACATCCTTCCCCAACACTTCGTTGATGTTTCGAGCTGTCTGAGCAGCATTGGTTCCATGACAGAACTCATATTCAAAAAGAACATGAACTTTTGACTTATCAATAGTTTCACAAAAATTTCTCCTAAAACTTTTTGAAAGATAATCACAAGCCTCACCATGTGTTTGAAAGAATGAGGATGTACCTTCATGATAAAAGTAACAAAAAGAAATATCAAGGTGAAATTTCAGAGGTATCAACTGTCAAACTTAGTACTTAAGGAAATCAGACATTTCATACTTAAGAATCTAAACAAATTGCAAAATATGTTCAGTGAACAGTCTCATATGTGGAAAATAAAGGTATTAATGAGGAAAGAGTGGGGATAATTGTATTTGAGCACATTCATATGACTGAGTACCTTAAATTATCCAACCCCATGTAAACAATCACTATCAAGCCCAACTCCAAAATATGCCACGAGAAAGTGTAAAATTTAAAACAGAAGGAAAGAGCACACATAAACAACACACACACACACAAGCACACGTGCCATACACTGTAAATTTTAATCCAATATGAGACAAAAACACTAGAAACTTTGTCACTCCTTTCTGTAACTAACCCTGTTTCCTACTCTTACTCAGCATACTAACTTTGTTTATCTGCATATTTTGGTCTATAGGCGTCTCGCACAATTTACTGAATTATAAATTTTACTTCTTATGCATTAAAACCATCTCTATCAATTTATAAAATGCAATCACATGGTGATATTTTATTATTACATATTCTTTTTTAACAGCCTTGGGGATTATCACTGTAGCCATGCACAATATAGTGTTCAGCCACATACTCAACAGGACCTTATAGTGGAAGAAAGAAGGAACAAAGAAAAATGATATCACGTATAGAAAACAAATGGCAATATGCAGAAGAAAGTCCTCATTATCTATAATTACTTTATACGCCATTGAGTTAAACTCTCCAATTAAAAGTCAGACTTTGGCAGAATGGATTAAAAAAAAAAGTTATCCAATACCCCTCCAAAATATATCTGTTGTTTGAGAGAGAATCACTTTGTTTACACCGTTGTTTTAGATTCATAAAATATAATGGAAACAGGTCAGGGAAGATACCTATCCTAAAAAAAATAATTTATGAAAACAAACACATAGTTTACTAATGTAGAGAGATTAATAAGTGTTCACTTTGGGGAAAATATGGGATTCTTTGGAATTACTAAAGAAAATGTTGAATCAGAAAAAAGACTGTTGGTTAGGAAATCACATTTAATTGAGATCTAAAATATGAGAGTTTTTTCCAGCTGAACATATAAGAAAGAATTTGTTACTATGTTATATTTACAATTTGCTCTGGATCTGTAAAGAATGCAATATATCTATTAGAAATAGTGTCAATGACATTGTCTTTATCATAGTTTATTGGAACAACATTTCATATTGAATATTAAATACAAAGTTTGCATTAGTTCTTAAAGACCCTGCGGAAGGCATTTTTTACCTCTTTGTTCCTAAAGCTGTAGATCAAGGGGTTAAGCATGGGAATCACTAACGTGTAAAACACAGAGGCCATTTTATCAGTATCATAAGAGTGAGTGGATTTAGGCTGCACGTACATAAAGAGGAGAGACCCGAAGAACACAACCACCATTGTCAGATGAGAACCACACGTGGAAAAAGCTTTCTTCCTCCCCTCTGCAGAACGCATTCGAAATATGGCTAACAGAATCAGCATATAGGACATGAGGACTACCAGGAGAGAAGAAATCAGATTAAATGCTGAAAATAGTATGATCGACAATTCTATTTCCCATGCATTTGAGCAGAGCATAGGTAACAAGGGAACAATATCACAGTAGAAATGATTGATGATGTCAGAGCCACAGAAGGTCAATGTAAAAATCTTAATAGTGAACATCAGAGCCTGAAAGGTACTGTAGAGATATGGAATGCCCACCATCAAGTGGCAAAGTCTCAGAGACATGATAACATTGTAGAGCAGAGGGCTACAGATGGCCACATAGCGGTCATACGCCATGGCCGACAGGATGAAAAGTTCGCTTACGATGAACACGATGCAGAAAGCCATCTGTGTGCCACATGCAGAATAGGAAATAGTATTTTGATCCACCATAAAATTTACCAGCATCTTGGGACAAATGACAGTAGAATTACCAAGATCAACAAACGCCAGGTGTCTTATAAAAAAATACATAGGTATACGTAGCCGGGAGTCCAGCTTGGTCAAAATGATCATGCCCATGTTGCCCACCACTGTGACCATGTAGATGATGAAGAAGATCCCAAAAAGTGGAAGCTGAAGCTCAGGCCGCCTTGTGACTCCCATCAGAATGAATTCAGTCAGCACTGTTAAATTCTGTTGGCCCATTTAGTCAAGTT